CCTCCTTGGCTGAAATCTACATGCAATGACACCAATGGATTTTCAACCCATTTTCATACCTCAAGCACACCATACATCATATAATTAACTACTACAACTAACCCAAAACTCAATTTCCCAATCACACAACAATCCATTTTCACAAAGTCTTAAGTTCATCATCCAAAATTTCCTGATTTATCAAACTTTTCCTCAATAAATTTTATGAGCTTAATCATCATAAAACATCATTCTAAGACACATTTATCTAATGCACAATTTCAATTTGAGGTCCCCAACCACATCAATTCAACCACAAATATCTTAGGTTTTCAAATTTTGATCCACCAAAATACTCAACAATAGGTAGAGAAACTTATCAAGGATCAAGGCTTGGGACTTCTTCAAGTAATACTCAAGCAATAGCTCCAGCAAACAACTCCAAGAACACCACTTTTCCTCCAAAAATTCGTGGCATGGGTAGAGGATTTCTCAAAATGTAGAAGGTTTCAAGGACTACCAATAGTTTGGTTGGGTTTGGATATTGATTTACTTAAAATTTCATATAGTGGAAGTTGAGTTTTGATGGAGATTTGATGATGAAAATCAAGGAAGAAAATTTTCTAGCCAAAAGGGGAAGGCCTCGGGTTCATGAGAGAGAGTGAGAGAGAGGGGGGAATATGAGTGAATAATGCACCCACATGTGTCTTAAGTCATTTTAAGTGGGGTAAGTCCCACTTGCCACATCACGACTTTTTTACCACTGTAGCCCTTATCTAATAATTAATTACCAAATTGATCTTGATTATAAACTATTTCAAAAATTTAACCTTGTTTAAAAATATAACACCAATCTGCCCATGTTTGACCGTTGACTATCAAGTCTACCCAGGTATCTCCCTCTCTACCCGAGTATTTTTTAAAAATTTTAAAATACCCGAGTAGGGATGGAGCTACCCGGGTATATTTCAAAAAACTGAAGAATGTTTGAATTATTTACCCGGGTAGGGTGGCAGCTACCCGGGTAAACATGTTTTGCAGCAAATGCATTCCAAAATCTGCTGTGTCTAGAATGGTTCATTATGGAGAAAAAAAATCGTCAAATTTACATTAGGTTTGGTTAATGGATGTCCTTCCCTGTGCTTGTAATTATCTTACATATAGCTCAGAAGCTATATATAATTTCTCCAACTTATTAATTATGTAACAGAGAATGAAGGAACTCGGAACCACTGAATCATCAATGGATGGAAAAATGCTTCGTTTGAGTGTAGAAACTGGTGGATGTTCTGGATTTCAGTATGCTTTTGATCTGGATGACATAATCAACTCAAACGATAGGTATTACCTCTTACCAGTTGATTTTCACAGATGGATTATGTTGAGGAGCTAATCCGTTCAGCTTTCGTAGTAAGTCAAACACAATTGGAAATGAAACATGTATATTACAATTTTTGCAAGATGTTTACCCGGGTAGCCGCTTCCCTACCCGGGTAAATAATTCAAAGTTTTTTGAAATATACTCGGGTAGTCCCATTTCTACCCGGGTATTTTAAAATTTTCAAAAAATACCAAGGTAGAGAGGGGATACCCGGGTAGGCTTGATGGTCAACGGTCAAACATGGGTATATTGGTGTTATGTTTTTAAACAAGGTTAAATTTTTGAAATAGTTTATAATCAAGGTCAATTTGATAATTAATTATTAAATAAAGACTATAATGGTCAAAAAGCCGCCACATCACTCATTTCAAATTATTTCAAATCTCCTACTTAAACCACCAATCTCCAAATAATTCCTAAATTATTTATATACTCCAAAATTTAACATTCACCAAAGTCCTATAATTGCCATTGAGCAGATGAATCCGGAGATTTTCGGTAATTCAGTGAAATCACAGTTTTAAACTGATATGTGTACTGTGGACACGTTTCCCCAAAAACCCTAATTTTAATCAAAATTCATAAATAAGTGAGTAAGGGTTGGAATTATCAAATTCATGTTGATTGGAGAGATGTTTTCTATACTACTTGCTGGAATCTTTGGAATTGGCGTAATCATCATATTCATGATGATAGTTTTCGAAGGCCAAGCAATGATAAGCGTGTCATTTCTGATTTTATTGCGCATTTAATTGAAGCTAGAGGTAAGAATAGAAGCATTCTTGGCAGCTTCCCTAATGCCCATCAGCCTACTAAATGGTGTCGTCCTGAACCTGGTCAGTTGAAGATTAACACAGATGGTGCTTCTTCCCTATCTAGGCAGCATGCTAGCTGTGGAGGCCTTGCTAGAGATCACAATGGTGCTTTTCTGGGTGGTTTCTCTTTCAGATTAGGTTTCTGTAATCCTCTTGATGCAGAACTCTGGGGTATCCTCAAAGGTTTAGAGTTGGCCTGGGGTACTGGTGCTAGGAGAGTGGAGTTGGAATGTGACTCAGAAATTGCTCTTAGCACTATCCAAGAAGGGAGCAACAATCACAGAAACTCTCAGGTTGTTTCCCGTATTCACAAATGGCTTGCTGAAGATTGGGATGTTCGTTGGGTCCACACCTTTCGAGAAAATAACAGATGTGCTCACTGGTTTGCTTCTAGCCATTTTGAGGATGATAATAATCTTATTGTTTATCATTCTCCTCCTCCTCCTTTGTTAGAGCTCCTTCTTCAGGATGCTTCTGTAGATCTTTTAAGTTCTCGCGTCGTGTAATTTTTGTTTTGTTTGGGGCTTTTGCCCCTCTTTATTACAAAAAAAATAAAAATAAATAAATCTTAGTCCCATGTACCTTTTTCAACTTATATTCAAACCTAGAGTTCAAATTTCACTCTGCACGCTTTTCGGTGCAACTATACCGCTGTATTTTTACCTGGTAAAAATACTATTTATCAAATTTTCAGAAACCTGCCTAACCACTCATTTTTTATTCTGAATCCATTTCCAGGGTTAGTTTTCTCATTTGAGAGCTTCTACTCACATTTCACTATTTAGAGTTACGTGTTTTGTCAATTTACTGTTTTACCCTTTTTACATATTTTGACCCAGAATTCAGGATTTTCACTAATCCTTCCCTTTAATCCTTATTCAAACTATAAATATATGTTTTAAAACTATGAGGTGTTATAGGCAGCCCCCGCATTTTTTGGGTTTTCAGAGTTGTTTGATTTACAATCTCGAACTTTAATTTAAATTGTAATTTCACATTTTTTTTCAAATTAATTTTATAACTTGAAACATGGTAATTTTTTTTTATCAATCATTAACTATCAAAATAAGTAAATTATGATTTAATAACAGGATATAATTAGTTTGTATCAATTATCAAATATTTAAATACGAAACGAGACAAACATGGTAAAATATGAAATGGGTATATAATTACAATTTAAACATGAAAATTAAATATTTATTTTTTTACAAACAAATAATAAATATAAACGACCTCAAAATTCTTATATAACCGCCTTAAAATGCTCTATTTGGAGGTGGTTATCGTAACCAATTCAGAATTAACATAATATTGAGGCGAACTTCAAAAATGCCTAAGGAATTGCTTAGAATTGTCCATTGAAGGCGATTATTATGACCACATCTAATATACATGTTGGGGCGATTAATGTATAATCGCCCCAGGAATCACATAAATTTGAGGCTACCTTCAAAAATTCCTACCAAACCGCCAAAAAATGTTCATTGGGGTACGTTACTACAACCGCCTTAGGTTTACGATTGGAGGCATTTTTTAGGGAACCATCTTAGATATAAAATAAATTTCAGGCGAAACTCAAAAGCGCTTGCATATCTGCCTCTATTTGCTCAATTTTGAGTCAGTTTTATCGTAACTGATTCCAAATGTATAATAGAGATGGTTAAAATAATTGCCCTTAATTATTGTTTAAATACAATTATTATCTAACTACCTCGGTCCAACGAAGACGCTAGAAGAACCGCCTCTAATTGGACATTTGAGGCGGTTAAAACGAAACCGCCTTAGAAAGGCTGTCGAAGTTTACCCATTTTCTTGTAGTGAATAGTAGAGCCAATAAATTTATCATTATTTCGATTAATAACGGAGTCAGTCAATTTTCCATTATTAATCATAATGGAGCCAATCAATGGAGTTAATCAATTTTCTAATAACATGAATCAAGAGAGTTTAATGCCCGTTAACTTTTGACTTCAACACTAAAATTCTCCTATTTGTGTTTCCAAAAAAAAAAAAAGTTCTCCTATTTGAAGTCAAAAGAAAATCCATGCACTATCCGTTCACATCTTCTTCTGTAAATATTTTGATCCCACTAAATTTTAGAGCTTCTACTTGACTAAAATTTTCATGAACAATTATTAAACAAAGACAAAATAAAACATATTGGCCTTGAAAAATAGCTATGCATAACCCGAATCGTAAACTGATTTTAACTTTACCTGATTTGTATTTGTATAACACGACCATTACACATATGTGGTCTCAAACCTGTTAACAATGTGATCAATATCGAAGAGGGATCTCGAACAATGCTATCCACTACAGGTATCTTTTTCTCGCCATTGTTTGCACTTGGAATGCTAACTCTTGTCTCTACACTAACTATGAAAGAGATACTATGATACGAGTGAAATACAAGAAGTAGGAGTTGGGCCATTGGCTGAAACAGGAATTAAGGCCCAACAAAGAGAAGAGGAGAATAAGAATGTAACAGATGACAGCATTGCTGGAAGGAGAGCTAGAAGGGTGATAAGAAAACCCAAGAGGTTCACATGAACTGAGGTGTAATTGGTTGTGGGTCAAAGATAGTCAAAGGAGACCATGTTAGTTTAGTAGTTAGTGTCACCCACATTGGGCCAAAAATAGAACATGTATAAATAAGAGTCTTTGTAACTAAGATCGGTTGTTGAATAAACTTTTCTCTGAAATAAAGATTGTTTTCTTTTCTCATCTCATTCTCTTGAGTTCCCTTCTCTCTTCCCTGTTCAAATATGTATCTCGGATAGGTTCAACCTATCAATCGGTGCTTTCATTGAGCTTTGAACATGGCTCCTGAAACTAGATCACGATCGTTTGATGACAGATTGGATCACACACAAGCAAAAATTGAGGTTTTGAAGGAACAAATGACAAAGAAATTTCAGGAAATCGCATGCAAGCTAGATGCCATTTTTGATAACCACAGAGAACACACGGCAACTTCAGGTTCAACATCCAATCACTCCAATCTGAAAGATAACCAAGCAGCACATAATTTACGTCTCAAAGTACCCAAGTTCGATGGGTCATGCGATCCTCATGGTTGGATCTTCAAGATAGAACAATTCTTTTAATTTTACAACATTGATGAAGATCAGAAGCTTCGGATTGCTCCAATCTATTTTGATGGAAAAGCTCTGGCCTGGTATCAATGGCTATGCAAGAACACCAATATTGCATCGTGGGAATCTTTTCTACAAGCACTTCAAGTACTATTTGGTCCGTCAGAATTAGAAGACTACCAAGGACAGTTATCCAAGCTCATGCAAAAAGGATCTGTTCTGGAATATCAAGAGAAATTTGAGACACTTTCAAATAAGGTACATGGCTTATCTAAATCCTTCTTACTTAGTTGCTTTGTATCAGGATTGAAACCAGTAATTCAACAAGAAGTGGCTTCATTTCGTCCATCGATAATGACTAGAGCCATATCCTTAGCCAAGATTCAAGAAGCAAAACTGTCACTCAAAGAGGTACCACCTAAACCGTACTCCCCATACCCACCTAAATTGCACTCTCCATACCCACCTTTGCTACCAACTCCAAAAACCTCACTAAATCAATTCAATCCTAAAACCACTACCACTGTTAATACTACTTATCTACCGAAACCATATACCCAGAAACTAACCCAAAGCCAAATACAAGAACCTAGAGACAAAAATCTTTGTTTTACATGTGGTGAAAAATATTTCTTTGGCCACAAATGTAAAGCCTCTGCCCATATTCTGATTGTTCCAGATGAAGATATTTCTCATTGTTCTTCTGATATCATAACAGAAGACCCAAACCCCAATGTTTGCATTGAAACTGATTGCAGTGAATCAATAACACCACAAATTAGCCTCCATGCATTATCTGGGATTATGGTACCTCAAACACTACGCTTCCTTAGCTACATTGGCGAATCAAAAATGAGCTTGCTAGTTGATAGTGGCAGCACTCATAACTTCTTACAACCAAAGGTAGTATCAGCCCTCAATTTTCCTATGTCTTCTGATCGAAAATTTGATGTCATGGTTGGAAATGGCCAAACCCTCAAATGTGAAGGTTTTTGGCAAGGTGTACCTGTTCAAATACAACAACACATCTTCTTAGTGGTTTTTTATGTTCTTCCAATTCACGGGGCAGACATGGTGTTGGGAGTTCAATGGCTCCAAATTCTGGGACCAGTGGTGCTAGACTATAGCAAACTAACCATGGAGTTTGCATGGGCAGGAGAGACAATCAAACTGCAAGGAGATAAACATGCAGGTCCTATATCCTTAAATCAATTTCGAAAATTACAGCACAGAGGACAGGTAGCTTCTCTGTTTCAACTAACACTGTTGGATTCGGTTATATCAGAACCACCTCCTGATAATTGTCCTGAAGTTCAACTCATACTCTCAGATTTTGAAGAGTTATTCAATGAACCGAAGGAAATTCCACCTTATAGAGTATTGGATCATGAGATTCATTTACAACCACAGGTTTCTCCAATTAATGTGAGGCCATATAGATACCCTCACTATCAAAATGTTGAAATTGAAAAGCAAGTCCAACAGATGCTTGATTCTGGATTCATAAGGCTAAGCACTAGTCTTTTTTCATCTCCAGTGCTATCAGTTAAAAAAAAAGATGGGACTTGGAGATTTTGCATTGACTATAGAGCCTTGAATAACATCACCATCAAGGATCGCTTCCCTATTCGAACAACAGATGCGTTGATGGATGAGTTAGGTGGTTCATAATACTTTTCAAAGTTGGATTTGCGAGATGGTTATCACCAAATCCATGTTCACCCTGCTGATGTGCACAAAACAGTCTTTCGAACTCATCAAGGTCACTATGAGTTTTTGGTAATGCCTTTTGGCTTAACCAATGCTCCTTCTACATTTCAAGCAACCATGAACCTGATTTTGCAACCTTATCTTCGCAAATTCGTGGCTGTATTCTTTGATGATATATTAGTATACAGTCCAACATTTGAACTACACCTGCAGCAACTTAGGATTGTCCTAACTACTTTACAGCAGCACAAGTTCTTCATCAAAAGGAGTAAATGTTCTTTTGCAAAAAAAGAGGTGGACTATCTAGGCCATGTGGTATCAGCAGAGGGAATAAGGATGGACCCTAACAAAATACAAGTCATGCTGGATTGGCCTACTCCAAAGAACCTTAAAGAACTAAGAGGCTTTTTAGGATTAACAGGCTACTACAGACAATTCATTTGTAATTATGCAGCCATTGCAACATCCCTCATTGAATTATTGAAATGGGATTCATTTCTTTGGAGTGCAGCAGCTCAAAAGGCTTTTGAAAATCTCAAGGTTGCAATGACAACTGCACCTGTACTGATTATGCCCGATTTCAATCAAGAATTCATTGTAGAAACTGGTGCATCCGACTTGGCAGTGGGTGCAGTTCTTCTCCAACAGGAACACCCTATATCGTATTTCAGCAAAAAGCTAGCATTGAGGATGCAAAAGTCTTCGACCTACGTTAGAGAGCTTTATGTAATTACAGAAGCAGTGAAAAAGTGGAGACAATATTTGTTAGGAAGGAGATTCACTATAAGAACTGACCAGAAAAGCTTGAGGAGTCTTTTAGATCAGGTGATTCAAACACCTGAGCAACAATATTATTTGACCAAGCTATTGGGTTTCGAATATTCCATTGTTTACAAGCCAGGGAAAGAAAATCAAGCTGCAGATGTTTTATCTAGATATCTTGTCCTCATGTCACTGATGGCAGCTGCAACAGTACAGGTTGAACTGTTGGAAACACTAAGAAGAGAGAATCAGTCTTCAACCTTCTTTCAGCAAATTTATAAGAACATTGAATAAGATCCTAGTAATAATGCAAAGTATAAAGTACATGAAGGACTGCTATTTTATAAAGGGAAGCTATTATTGGATCCTTCATCCCCACTAATTCAGCAAGTTTTACAAGAGAATCACTCAACCTTCATGAGTGGACATATAGGAATACAAAAGACAATGACCAGAGTATCTGCTAGTTTCACTTGGCCCAATTGGAGAGCTTATGTCAAAGCCTTAGTTAGTTCCTGCATGGTATGCCAACAAGTTAAATATTAGACACAAGCACCTGCCAGGTTGTTACAACCAATTCCCATTCCCAAAAGAATATGGGAAGATTTGTCAATGGACTTCATAGTAGGCCTACTGGTTTCACATGGCTTTACTACTTTTTTTGTAGTTGTGGACCGCTTATCCAAACAGGCTCATTTTGGCCCACTGCCCCAGCTGTACACAACATCTAAAATGGAAAATCTTTTTGCAATTATGGTCTGTAAACTTCATGGTCTTCCAAGATCAATCATCACAGACAGAGACTCAATTTTCCTCGGCAGGTTTTGGGTGGAATTATTTGAGCAAAGTGGAACATATCTAAGGAGAGCTACAGCCTACCATCCTCAATCCAATGGTCAATCTGAAGTTGTTAATCGGGTCCTAGAACAATACTTGAGATGCTCTGTTGCAGATTTTCCTAAGAGGTGGTCAAAGATTTTACATTGGGCTGAGTATTGTTATAATACATCTTACCATTCTTCAGCAGGAATGACACCCTTCAAGGCAGTCTTTGGTCGAGACCCTCTTTCTATCCTAGATTATGTTTCATCTTCTGCAAGTTTGGAGGAAGTAGATACTACTCTAAAAGATAGACAAATTATTTTACAGCAGTTGCAAGAGAATTTAATCAGAGCTCAGCAGTCTATGAAGGATAGAGCATATCGCAAAAGAAGAGATGTTCAATTCAAGGTTGGAGAATTGGTTTGGGTTCACCTATAACCCTACAGGCAGTCATCAGTGGCAGAGATAATGAGTAACAAACTATCCAGAAGATATTTTGGACCATTTGCCATAGCAAAAAGGATTGGTCAGGTTGCTTACAAGCAGGAGTTACCACCTAACACGAAAATACACCACACATTTCATGTTTCTCTCCTCAAACCATACAAAGGAGACAACAATGTAGCACCTTTTCCTTTGCCTGAGATGTTTACTAATGGCATGCCTATACTGGAACCAAAAGACATTGTAGACAGCAGAATAAGTGACTCGGGAGATCAACAACAGATAGATATTATAGTGATATGGAGTGGAATGCCACATGAAGTAGAGACTTGGGAAGAATTACAAGAGTTTAGAAGACAATATCCAAATTTTAACCTTCAGGACAAGGTTATTCTTAATGGGGTGGGTATTGATACGAGTGAAATACAAGAAGTAGGAGTTGGGCCATTGGCTGAAACAGGAATTGAGGCCGAACAAGGAGAAGAGGAGAATAACAATGCAACAGATGACAGCATTGCTGGAAGGAGAGCTAGAAGGGTGATAAGAAAACCCAAGAGGTTCACATGAACTGAGGTGTAATTGGTTGTGGGTCAAAGATAGTCAAAGGAGACCATGTTAGTTTAGTAGTTAGTGTCACCCACATTGGGCCAGAAATAGAACATGTATAAATAGGAGTCTTTGTGACTAAGATCGGTTGTTGAATAAACTTTTCTTTGAAATAAAGATTGTTTTCTTTTCTCATCTCCTTCTCTTGAGTTCCCTTCTCTCTTCCATGTTCGAATTTGTATCTCGAATAGGTTCAACCTATCAGGCGCCTACCACATGTACTCAACTTTTGATTTTCCTTCCAGATTTTGGGACTACTGAGTGTACTCTCTTCCAAATGACAAATTTTCGCATTACCTTCCTTTTTCAAGAACTATACAACCTTATGTGACTTTTACAACTACATAAGCAATTATAGTTTTACAATTTTTGGAGTCTAACTGACTACCTGAAATAAAATTCCTACATACCTTTGGGACATAAGCCACACCACTCAAAGTATATATCACTCCATCAAACATCTTTAGTTTGACCATTCATGTCTCGACCACGTCACGTATAGACTCGTCACCCAAGGATATTACTCCATCCTTACTTTCTTTGAACGAGTTAAAATAAATCTATGTGGAGCAAATATGAACAAAGCGCCCAGAATCTATAAACCATTTGTCTCTATGAGAGGAAGTGGATTTAACTTTAGGGATTGCGGGAAAATCTCCCTTGTCTTGTTCATTAACTATAATCGCAACAGTTTTTGTCTAATTAACTTGTTTGTTTTTTTTCCTTTGTAAATAATTTCTTTTGATATGTCCAAAATCTTTGTAGTGATAACATTGTACCCTTTTTATTGGACCTTGATGTAGACAGGCTTATCTCAAATCTTCTACTAGCCAATCTTCCTCTTCCTTCAACAATCACGACTCTTTAATAATAATCCATGGTATTCAATGACAAGTCAACATCTATCTTTGCAGTGCTCTGAAGACTATTTTTGACATGCTCCAGGGAGATTGATTTTCTCCATACATCAATGTGTCATGAAAATTGTTGTAGGAAGGTGTCAAAGAGAATATTAGATATTAGGTACAAGGGTAGTTTAGTATTTCAATGATACTCTAGAATCTTCTCTTGCTCTTTTATATAAGAGATTTATTGTACAAATTAATTAACCAATCAATGAAATCAATATTTTTCATTTTTTCTCTTTTACCTTCTAATATGGTATCAAGAGCAATTTTCCATCCTCCATGAATGACTCCACTGCCGTCATTTGTTTTCCTTTGTTTTTTCCGCTGCCGTCATTCTTTTTTCTTTTGTTTTGTTAGAACATCAATTGGTTCCTTATTAGCAACACCAACGCCCGGTGGTTTAGTCTCTATCTGTCTTGGGGTAATAGTCATTGAACCAATCTTTCAAATAAAAGAAATATCTTCTTTTTCAGCTGTACCTTTATCAGCCTTATCATCAACAGGCTTAGTGCTGGTGACATCACCGCCGCTGGTTCAGTTCCGGTGGTCAGCCACCATCGCAACATCAGCTTTTTTTTATGGTTATCTTTTCCGACCACTTTCCGCCGTGCATGTTTTTCTGGCATGTTCTTCTCCAAAAAAAATTTAGTTGCTAGTCATCTTTTTTCTTCTAAATCTCTCATATCTGTTTCATTTTCTTGTTCGTCCGGCCTCCGTGGACCTTTGTCGTGTCTTTCTCTCCTCCGGCCACGTTTCTCTTCTTCCGACCATGTCCTTCTCTCTTCTGGCGGCGTCTCCTTTTTCGGTCATCATCTCCGACCGTGTCTGATTCTCCGGCCGCATCGTCCATTCCTCCGGCCGTTTCGGTTCCAGATCTGTGTTACTTTCAGATCTGTGCTTTTGTCTCCTCCGGCCATATTTTCCTTTTCTCTGGCCATTTCTGTTCCAGATCTGTGTTGCTTTCAGATCTGCGTTTTGGTCTCCTCCGGCCCTTTTCTCCGGCTCTTTCTATTCTGACATTTCATATCTCCGTTTTTTCTTCTGTGATATTTTTCTACCTAGGTTCTTCCCACGTCATCTCTTCTTTGTCATCTTTCAGCTTTGTCAAATTTTGGTCGCTGATATATTTTTATTTTCAGATTTGTCTACTTGTTCTCTTTCACTTCTCATTTTGCAGGTTTGTGAAGATTAATGGAGCTCATGGATTTTATTGCGATACATCATTGTAGTTTTGGATGGATTTTATTCATGGATTTTTCATTCTGTAATTTTTTTTTCTGATGTACTGTCGTTGGCTTGTATTTGGTTTTGCCATTGTTTTGGCTTTATTTTGGCTTCCTATTCAGGAGGAGCATTGTTCATGTTGTTGAAGTTTATTTCAGAACAGTTGATTTTGTCGATGTCCATCCCGGCAGTTCA